CCCTTTATCCTCTCCCTTCCCACCGTACCCCCACAGGAACCCTTATTATCCTCTATTAAATAACTATCCTCTAGTTCTTTAGTATTTCCTCCCGTGCTTTTTTTTTTTTTTTAAGCAAACAGAACTTTATTTGCACCTCCACACCCCATTGGGGGCAAGGCCAAGTGTCTAGGACCCACACACTCCCCAAGCACTACATACATACATGCAGACAACATGTATTCCCTGCTTCTCATACACATGGTCACACATGGGCAGACATGCACACAGACACACATATCCTCAGATTGGACCTCCAGCTTCAGAATGGAATCAGGTCCAAACCTCCCCTTACTATTACAGTCTTTGTTTTACCTCATTAATCTTGTTAGACCTGCGCAAGTTCATTTGTATAATTAAGAACATGGATGCATTAAAGCCAAGATAGCCTTCAGAAACAGTAATGGGAGTAATGATTCCCTGAGGCTATGGGAAGAGGAAGGATGGGGAGGGAGCTGATAGCAAGGATGACTATATAAGTTCACTTGAGGGAAGTGAAGAACAGAATTTTAGGTGAAAGGATATATATTTAAAACAAAAACCAAACCTTGAGGAGGTAACGTTATTTGTAATTACATTTTACAGCTTACTAAATCTAAGACTAGGGAACAGGCATAAATCCCAGGCCCAGTTAATTGATTAAAGTGTGTGTGTGGGTGTGTGTGTGTGTGGGGGGGGGGGGGAACTCAATAACCTGGCATCAAAAATCTCAAAAGGATAAAACCCTCCAACTCTGAAAAAGCTAATTAGCATGTGATCAAATCAGGATTTTGAAAAAAAATTAAAATCTGGGCTTTGTTCTAAGATAAAGGGGATTGGGTAACGATGCTAACCAGAATAGCTGGAGAATATCTAACCAAGGGCCAAATAAAAATATCCCCAATAGCCAGACAAGTAATCTAAACGTTGTGAAGAGGCCAGTTGGGAACTGGGTGAGCTGACGGCCAATCCTCAGTCGCAGCTGCTAGACTGGGGATGGGATAGAGGAAGAGCTCAATGTTATACTCTCAGACTTATCCCAAATCCAAAATCTGGCTTTTTGCATAGTCTGTCAATTGTTGAAACACTATCAACTAGATCCAAGCACAACAAAAACCTAGAAAGTGGGCTAAGTCATATGGCTGTATTACTGGTGCTAGTGAGCTCAGTGCTAAAGTTTAAGAGAACAATTTCAAGTACACTAAAAGTAGAATCAATAGATTTTTCTAAGCTTCAATGGGTGTTAAAGAATGGCAATCTGTTCATTTTACAGGTAAGAAAATGGATGATCACAGAGTTTAAAAAAAACACAATTTGGGTCTGAAGAATAACTTATGCACTACAGCAGATTACTTAACTATTTTTATATTAAGCAGTACTTTACTACAGTCAACTCCTTTATGTAGTTAAAGGAAATATAGCAGTATTTCTATAATAAATATTTTAGCCTATAATTCAAAATTTATACTTAAAGTCTACCTATTACCCCATTTGGGCAGTTTGGCTTTATAAAATCCAACGTAATCACGGAAGAGAAACACTTTAATAAAAGAGTAATGATAAGGAAAAATAATTAAAGCAAATTACCCATTTGTAACAAATTGGGCACATTCTCCAATATTGTGTCCAATTTCCATTTGAAGTCTTTATCATCTATATTTCCCTCGAAGGCCACAAAGATAGTGGACTCTTCCAAAATACTATCGCTTTTTGTGTCGTCATCTTCTAGTCCAGAGTCAAGATCCATCTCTGAGTCTTCTGCTACGGATGAACACAAGGAAGTATAGATGCGTTCTAAGTTTGGAAGGTCATCCAAAACCATGGTGAATATTATTCCAGAAGCATATGCCAAGTGGACAATAAGAAAACCTTTGAAAATTAAAAAAAGGATGCATAAGAAACATTACAACGCACAATCATAATTCAGTAACGTATACATCAGAAACCAGAAAAACTCACTGCCATCAGGTTGATGCCAGCTCACAGCAACCCTATAAGGCAGGGTAAAACTGACCCATGAGTTCCTTAGACTAACTCTTTATGGAAGTAGAAAGCCCTGTCTTTCTCCCTGTGTAAGCGTTAGCTCTGCAAAAACTGTAATTTATTTGCCAAGTAATACAAAATTACTATAAAAATTAAGAATTTACCTAGGACAGTGATTCTCAACCTTCCTAATGCCGCAACCCTTTAATACAGTTCCTCATGTTGTGATGAGCCCCAGTTATAAAATTATTTTCGTTGCTACTTCATAACTGTAGTTTTGCTACTGTTATGAATCGGGAAACCCCTGTGAATGGATCGTTCGACCCCCAAAGGGGTCACGACCCACAGGTTGAGAACCACTGACCTAGAGGATATATAATTTTAACTGAGATATTCTATAGCAATTCTCTTCTTTTGGTAAGTTTTTAAATCATTTTATTGGGGGCTCTTACAGCTCTTTATAACAATCCATACATCAATTGTATCAAGCACACTTGTACATATGTTGCCATCATCATTTAAAAAATATTTTCTATTTGAGCCCTTGATATCATCTCCTCTTTCTTCCCTCCCTCCACCAACCTCATGAACTCTTGATAAATTATATATTATTATTTTCATTTCTTACACAGTCCACTAACGATTAATTCTTAAAGATATTGGGGAACACTACATATAAAATTCAATATATTATGCTTTCTATAGTATCTTTTTATAAACCTATAATATTGTGATGAGGGAATCAGGGATCATGAGAAAAAATATATATGTATATACACACACATTTTTAATGTGCTAAAATACATACAAAGTAAATTTTACTATTTTAATAATTTAAAAGTACAAAATTCAGTGGCATTAGTTATATTCACAATATCCAGCAATTACCAATACTTGTTTCCAAAACTTTCTCAATACACCAAACAGAAACTTCATACCCCATTAAGCAGTAACTCTTCATTCTTGTCTTCCTCTAACCCTTAGAAACCACAAATCTACTTTCTGTCTGTAGGCATTTGCCTATTCTAGATATGCCATGTAAGTGAAGGCTGGATTACAGAATAGTTATCCTTTTGTGTCTGGCATCTTCACTCAGCATGTTTTCAATGTTCCTCCAAATTAGTAGCATGCATTAGAACTTAATTCCTTTGAGTGGTTATATGATCATCCATTGTAGACCACAGATCCTCAATGCATTGGTCATCTTAGCAGAAATTTTGTCCCTGGATTGATATCTCATGAAAAAAGAAAACATTTTTTTCTAAGTATAAGCATGACTTTTCAGTAACTTACAAATGTCAATGTCTTTAAGGAAAAATAGCAGTAAATGCTTAAATTTCATTTAATGCACAAAATCATTGCTTACTAGGAATACAGCTTCAGCAAACTAGATAAAAAATCTAAGACTAGGGGACAAGACATAAATCTTAACCCCAACCTCCAAGTCTGCAAAAATATACTTTTTAAAAAATTGTCATTAATTGATTCCCATTCATGACCAAACTCTTAAATAAAAGAAGGGAGTAGGAGGAAGAACTATACAATAAGTGCTGATACTAACATTTCCTCTTATGAGAAGTATTTCTGAAAAGTTCCCTGAATCAGCTTAAACCCACTGGGGCAGAGCCTCCAAGCGAGGGCTGCCGGGATTCATAATGAGAGTGCTACACAGAGGTTATGGGGAAGAGAAATACAAATTTCCAGGTAGAAGCTATTTCTGTTGGGCTTTAGCTAATCAAAAATCCAAACCCTGTTCCAAAATATAAGTTGTGTTGCAGCTGTAACTTTCAAACAGAGTCTATAATTTTTAATCAGTTAAAGATATTTACTTAAAGTGCACTTTCCTATTATATTTTAAATCAAATGTTTACTGCTTTACTGCCATTATACACAGTAAAAGCTGAGATAAACTTACTAAAAAGGGGGGGAGTGAGGAGGGAGGAGAAAAGATGAGGAGCTGATGCCAGGGGCTTA